ATACCAAGTTTAGAACAAAATCCATTTGAATCATTAGTCATAACCGTACGATACGTAAAAATCTATTGTTAAAAACATTCATTAACACTATTCCTAAAATATTTATACTAAAATTGTTTAAAATTTTGAGCTATTGCTTTACAATTACATTTTAAAACTATATAACCTTAAAAACTTTGCTCAGCCATGTGGCAGCATGGAATTATAATTGAACCAAAGAATCATAACCAAACTTTGCAGAACCAAAAGGTACACCGAACAAAATAATTGAGACAACCATGGACCAAGTAATTTATGGAATTTAGAAAAATTAAAACAGTGAAATTGAGCGCTAAATTTTGAAAAATAATTTCTATAAGCTGGATTCACCAACGTCATTAATAGATGAATTATTATTATTAATACTTAACAAATATGTGAACATGATACTTAAGTTATCAATGTCAGAACGTCTATTCATAGTGTTCTCACATTGAAAAATGCTGCACATCTCAAGGAAATTTCTTTTAAAAACATTATTTTCTGTAAATTTTATACTTACTTCGTTAAAATCAATATCATGTTTACAACTATTTGTATGGTTCGACAACATACAAGAATTCTTATTAGTCTAATGTCACTTTTATGAGAAACAATCCTATCTTTAAGCCTCCTAACCAGTTTGCCCAATATAAACTTTTTGACAATCCTTACAAGGAATACTATACACTACATTAGATTTATGTAATAAAGGAACCTCATCCTTAAGATTAGAAAAAATATTTTTAATAATTAACTTATTCGTAAAAGCTAGTCGAATGTCATTCATATCTGAAAAAATGTTTTTTAATTTCCACGTTATAGATTCTATATAGGGTAATGAAAAATATGAAAAATTTTGGGGAACTGAAATATTGTTAACAACACTGTTTATATGGGAAGTACTGCCTGACCCACCATCAAGAACAGAATGTGAAGGAGAGAAAACTTGTGAATCATTATTTCTATTAAAAAGAATTTTGTTAACAAGCCTTCTTGGGTAACCACATTTAAGGAACAATTGAGCAAGTTTTCTCAGGTTTTCCATCGTTTTTGAACGATGTGACGTGCGCAAGACCCTATTTTTCATCCCTAACAATAAGTTAATTTTCTGTTTCATGGGGTGGTACGATGCAAAATGCAAGTATCGTCCTGATGCCCCAGGTTTTGTATACCACGATGTGTAAAGAATATTGTTTCAGCTCTGAAAACTTTAGTGTCAAGAAACGGAACACTTTTGTTCTCGTCTTCTTCTTCCACAGTAAATTGTATGAAAGGGCTATAACCATTAAAAACATGTAAAACTTGTTGTATGCTACCCAAGGGAACACTAAGTATAATATCATCATCGTATTTTTTAATAAACGGCATTTCAAAATTTAAACGATTAATACATTCGGCAAGTAAGTCATCCATCACATACTGAGCTAATATGGGCGAGACAGGACTACCCATAGGCATACCTAAAATTTGTTTATAAATTTGATTATTGAACGAAAACACAGTAGAATCAAAAAGANATATATGCTCGTAAATACAAAAACAAATTTGAGATCCATGGCCAACTTTGTGAGAATTTATAAAAAAACCGGAAAAGTGCCGAAAGTTTAGGGTCGTCTAACTTTTTTATTTTAAGAGATACAGAAAACTTATTTTAATAAAATTTCATGGCAAAATTGATATTTTTCACCTGGTATAAACAGATTTTATTTTTATTTTTTTATTACACGGGCAAAAAAAAATGTCATCGAAGTAGACTATGGGCCACAAAATAATTGCTTGTTTTTTCCTCTTTCTTGCGATATACTACATGTTGCCTTTATCTTTTATATTTATTACAGTTTTTATAATTTTGATATAAAAAAATATAAAAATTTTCGTGTTGCTTATGTTAATGTAGAAATTGTTTTAAACACACCAAATATAAAAAAATAATAAATATATCTACTTACAGAATTAGAGCTTTTCTCTTCCTCAAATGACATACACTTTTTTATTTTATAACACCTTCAAAATGATAATTTTTCAAATAACAATGAACTGTAACAGTTTTCAAGCCAACAGTTATGTATCATCTATAACAATAAACAGTTTACCAAATGATGACATTACTGGGGTCAAAGGGGTAACATATTTGTTTTTACAGTTTGCGAGATTTAGCGTAAGCTACTTTCTCTGTGAAAGAACAATGTTGAAGGCTTAATTCTCTCTAATGCAAAAACCAATACTATAATAAAGTAATAAGAAAATCTGTATTTTGCTTAAAAGTGCATTATATTTATTAATTCTTTTGTAGTTATTATGTTTAAAATTAATGTTTACATTAACATAAGCAACACGAACATTTTTATATTTTTTTTATATCAAAAGTATAAAAAATGTAATAAATATAAAAGATAATGGCGACATGTAGTATATAGCATGAAAGAGAAAAGAACAAGCAATTATTTTGTGGAAATACCTTACTTTGATGACATTTTTTTTGCCCGCGTAGAGGGCGCTGCAATTTACAGACGATAGTTCCAAAATCTGTTTATACCAGGTGAAAGATATCAATTTTGCCATGAAATTTTATTAAAATAAGTTTTCTCTATCTCTTAAAATAAAAAAGTTAGGCGACCTTAAATTTTCGGTACTTTTCTGTTTTTTTTATGATTACTGACAAAGTTGGCCATGGATCTCAAATTTGTTTTTACGAGCATAAAGGCCTCAAAAAATGCAACAAAAAATATATAAAGATTTTTGACGTGCGTCTATTAAGCGAGATACATAGAAGGGGCCCTCTTATAGTAGACAGCCTATATATATATATATAGAATATAATAAAGAAATGAAATCTTACTTGTAATTATGGGCCCAAGTTAAAGCAGCTGGTAAATTAAGTAATGTGATTATACACCATAGAAAGAAGATAGTTGAATGAAAAAAAAGTGAATTATTCGTAGCAAGCAATTCATTATCTACTTTTTCTTTTAATTCACTTGTATTAATTTTATCATTTTCAGATATTTTATTTTCACCTTCTTCATCTGTGTCACCTTTTCTTTTAATCTTAGATTCGTAAATTTCGTTGTACAACTCATTTAAATCAATATCATCCATTTCCTTTGTATCTCCAATCTCCTCATCCAATATCTCCTTTTTTCCATTATTTCTTTTTTCATTTTTAGAAACTCGAGTTTGTGATATTTCTATATGTTCCTTGTCTAATAAACATTCTTCGTCATTTTTTAAATTGGTTTTCTCAGCGCAACATTTTATATCATCTTTTTTGGTAAGTCCATGTGTCGTTTTTCTGATGACATTTTTACATTTTTCAGCAAACCGTTTTATAAAAAACCAAACTACTTTTTCTATGTAATTTTGTGACATATGTGTTAACTAGGAAGAAATGACTTGTGACATACAGGGTGTCCCGAACTGATGCAACAAAATTTGGTCACAGATTCTTAAGACAAATTTAGGGGAACCGTATTTTTTATTTTTGCCAAGTGACCCCCTCTTTCAGAGTTACATCCCCCTGAAATCCACACTTAAGAATAATCTTATTTTTATATCTCAGAACCCTGTTGTACGAGAATCACTATATTTGCTACAAAGGGGTTTTATGACGTGGAATTTAATGGTGCTACGCTTATTGTCGGAAAACCCCCTTAAGACAATTTTTCGTGGGACCCCTTGTATTTGGAGCCAAAAAAATTTGGTATTTGTATATTTAAATTTCTTAAAAATTATTAGTCCGCTAGAAAGCCATTAATTTTATAAACATTTTTGTCCCTTGATACTTTTTTCATAAAACGCAATGTTTTCGAGAAAAATGTCAAGATGTGATCGAATGCATATCGTGATTGGCCATTTTCCTCAAAAACATTGCGTTTTACGAGAAAAATATCAAGAAACAAAAAAGTTCTAGTTTCTAGCTATCCAATAATTTTTAAGAAATTTAAATTTACGACCAAATTTTTTTGGGTCCACGAAAAAGTGTCTTAAGGGGGTTCCCCGCCAAAAAACGTAGCATTATGAGATTCCATACGTAATAAAACCCCTGTGTACCAAATTTAGCGATTTTCGTACAACTGGGTTCTGAGATATAAAAAGACTATTCTTAGGGGCAGATTTCAGGGGGCTGTATCTCCAAAAGAGGGGGCCACTTGGCAAAAAGAAAAAATACGGATCACCTAAATTTGATTGACCAGGTTTTGTTGCATTAATTTCGGGACACCCTGTATATTAAAAAAATTGTTATAGTATTTACCTTTAAAAAATAAAAAAGTGTCCCTAGACATAGTGCTAAACTTCCACATGTGGAAATACTTGCAAAAACTAACAGTATTGCTATGATAAAGGGTGCTTTCTCTAATAAAGTAGTTATAAAATCCGTACTGCTAATGGATAAAAATAGTATTCCTGTCAACCTAAAAAAGTAAGGTTAGTGATATTATTGAAAAGCAAATACGTTATTACGTACTTCAGACTTAATTTATTTATAGTAGAGTCCAATGTTACAAGTGATATGATGTATATTACACCTAGTAACAAAACAATGCCAACACTACATAGGAATAGGATTATATGTGAACCAAAAAATTCAGTGCCCTCTTCAGTTAAATAAAATATGTCAGTCTTTGGCAAACGGTCGTACATTTCTATTTTTCTAAAATACGAAACAAAAATAGTTTCCATTTAGCTACCTCTTATTATTAATTAGGTACCTCAAAATTACTGATAATATTTTAACTATCGGTAGAGTGTAGTACGCCTTTACTCCTTCCTTTATAGCAACAAAAAATATAGGACAACTTCCATTTTTCAAGCTCTTTAATTGGTACCTCAGAATCATTAACATAATAACTGCAATATTTGTTAATAACAAAGGTGTATAGATCCTCGCCATTTGTCCCAATGATCCAAATATACATGGCTTTATACTGAAAACAAAATTTATATTAATTTAATTTTTTTTTAAATATTTTTCTTAAACTGAATAATTTTTAAAATAGGCAAGAGGAAATTCCGAGTCTGCCGATCACTGAAAATGGTCCTAACCGATCCACTCACTGTCAACCACCCTAACCCTAAAATACGTTCATGCTGCACACCGACATGCGACAGGAGTTTCATAAGTATACGGGCCGTGTTGTATCAGCTCTATGGCGAAGGGACAGACAAATGATATTCTGTCCCAGCGCCAAATTTACTAAGACGGAGAAGAGGTGTCACTGAAATGAGCAGGAGGTCCTGCTGTAGTGTGACTTTGCTACCACTAAAAGACCTATACAAATCAGTGCGGGGAATACCTCCGCGAGAGGAATTGTTGCAAGGGGCTGCTCGCAAGGAGGTGTTTTATCACCACTGTTATGGAACCTAGACAGTCTCCTATGCCACCTCAACTCGGAAAACGGCATCTATACCATCGCTTATGCAGATGACCTCACTATGCTGATCAGTGGAAAATTCGAGGGGATTCTTTGCCAAAGAATGCACAGCCTTAAGAACTATTGAAAAGTGATATGAGGACCATGCTCTGTCAGTGAACTCCAGGAAGACAGAAATGGTTCTCTTCACGAGGAAGAGAAAACTTGGGCCAACTCTCCTAAACACTACACTAAGCTGTGCATCTGATGTGAAGTACTCGATACAAAACTAACATGGAATCTTCATTTTGAAATAATATTAAAAAAGGCGTACATATCCTATGAGCTGTGCCGCAGAACCGTTGGTACCACCATAGCAATGAAGGTAATGCTGTGTCTGCCACTTCTGGATATCTGTCTAAGACAAGTGGCCTTGACAACCATGCTTCGCCTTAAGAACGTAAGAACGTCATCAGGAAAATACCCCTTTGTGGTTTTAACTTTTGAGGTTAAGGTATATTTTGATGTTTATTGATAGAGAGTTCGAGTTAAGACTAATTTTATTTTCTATAAATACAATAATGTAAGTTTAGCTGAGTAAGAATAATGTATTGTCATGTTGATGTTAAATGTTTTATTTGAAAAAGTTTATTAATTGATTTTTGAAGTTCATTTGCATATTCGGTTCCTAAATCTGTTTTTAAAATTTTAAAAATACCAAATTTCATCACAAATTCTTCAAATAAGGCTTTAGATATAATTTTAGCTTATTTACTTTCCAATGGAACGGCTTGTATAAATTTTGTCAAGTTACATTGTATATAGGCCAGTCATTACAGCTTTTTTTCGGGAAAAAAATACTACTAGAAGTTTCTCTGCGGAATATTGTTCAGAAACGTGTTATAAACAAAATATCAAAAAATCAACTCAAGACTAGTTGGGAAACTTTGTTAAAACAATGGTCAAAATTATGGAAAAGTGGTTTTTTGACTCGCGTAAAAAAACTGTTATTCATAGAGAAAAAAGGTTTATACAAAAAAAGTAGGTATTAAATAAATATGTAAAATAAGACAAGTCCGATTAAATTCCGATAATTTGTTTATGCGCAAGAACTTAAAAATGGTCGAAATTGTCCGCTTTTTTCAATTGCTAATAATTAATGCAATTTTCATCACAGATACTTGTAATTCAGGATTTTTGAGGCTTTTTACACCCTTCATAAGTGGTAAAAATTTCAGCCCAAAAGCTTCATTAGCTTGGCGTTGGCGGAATTTGTTATCTAAGAAGATGCTATTTTCAATTCATTTTTCCCAAGCTCACAGGCGTTGTAGGGTTTCGGTCATTAGTTGTTTTTGTACCTAAATAGTTGTACTGACATATGCATTTACTGACAATTTATTTTTTCAAATTTAATTTGTTTAAAAATGAATGAAAAAATGTTAATATTTATTAAATTGTTAAGCGCGCATGCTCCGCCTCGCTCTCCCCACTCGTTCGCAAGACCAAGTAATAGAACGCATTGTTGTAGACCGAAGGGCTATTATGCAAATGAACGAAACACGCGCCAAAATCCTTGGCAGGAAAAATGACCTCGGATGGAGCGGGGTCGGGTGGGGTTATCGCTCTTTATCCACTTCATCGCTGTAGGCCCGGACGCCTCGTAGAGGTAGGCCCTTTCCCCGTCATTCCGGACCGCCAACGCGGCCGGATTGGATCGGTTCGTGGGGCCTCCTCCTGTCCT